AAAAGAACGACCTGTTTCGTACCCTATAGAAAAAATTGAAACTCCTACCGGAGCGCTGATAAATCCTAGTAAAGCAAAAGTTATATCACTTATGGCGAAGCAGGTCATCAAATGTTTATAGTTGCCAATATTCTGTCGTGGTTTGGCTTGAATGGTGAAAATGAAAAGTGAATTCATTGTTGCAGATAAAATGAAGATCAACATCGATGTGATCCTATGGTACTGGTCATCATCCATCTGCACAAAAGGATTTGAAAGCTGATACCTACAAACACAGGATTATCTCTACAAATAATCAATTCGATGGTATCGACAATAACATAATCGATAAATCGAAAAAAAACAGCAGACAGTGCTTCAAAATTTATCAATAAGGAAGGCAGTAATTTCTCTTAGCTTGTCAATGCGATCAACATCACTCAGTTTTCGGACACTCACATGGTCTAGCGGCCAACCAAGCTTTGGGCAACTAACACGATTACTTGGGCTACTTCCTATCTGCCCTTAATGCCTACGGATATTGCCATGATTTTCCGGTTGAACAACGCCAGATGCCGATGATGTCCTAATTCTTACAGAATTATTTGTTACTGTTCTGTAGACAGTAGATTATCATAACTTAAACTGCGTGACCCATGATGGGAGGAGCGCATTATGAATTTCCAGTCAAACACACCTATGGCCACACGCCACAGACACATAAGCAGACACACTTGACCGATTTTATATAGTAGGATTCTTATGAACATGTAAACAAAAAATAGGAGTGGAAGTAAATATAGACCTGCACATATGGTGAGATATATGTTTATACTGATACTACCGTCTCAAAAGTGCTTTCTATCCCTCTACAGCCTAAACAACTAAAGTTTGCCTTTCCATCGCCATAACAAGTTATTGTGTTCAAACTTCCACTACTGTACCTCCTGATAGCGCAAACAATCTGAATGCGACGGCAAACAATATATTGCATCGAAATTCTGCGTATTTTAGCTCAAGATCGACTAAAGTGAGGTGAAACGGCGGTGCTTTAGCAACGCTCTGATCTCAAAAAAATAGAAACAAGAAAACAAAAAAAGCAAATGCCGGCTGTCGTCAATGTGATAAGCAAAGTTCTGGTGATCTTCTTAGAAGCAGTGTGGCTGATATAAATCTCGGCGGAAAACCCATTTTCTGCATTTTAAGCGATTCACAATTTTCTGAAAAAAAAACCTTGATCACTTCTATATGCCGTCGGTTTCTCAATACTGGCTGATGGCCAGACTGACTGAAACATGCTCTTACTGGCAAGCATCTTCTATCTCTGTATCAAATTTGATATTTCAATTTAGATTTCCTATCCCAGTTCGTTTCAAATCTCCACAATATCATCCGGAAGGAGAGCATCTGTCGCTGAGCAGAACCCTTTATAGCATCTTCATTACGGCTCAGTCCCACTACCACAAAAAACGTCTATTAGGTACCGGATATCTTAGTGTCGTTTTTTCACCACGAGTTTCGGACCACCAATATTTTAATTCAGAATCCGGGGAGTGAAACAGCATATTCATCGAATGACTCATTAGCACTTTCCCATTTACCAGTATGAGTGGAAACCTCGTACGATTAAAGCTAGGAATTTTTTGAGTCGAAAAAGAGAGGTAGGTCGGTTTTGACATCATCTGACAAATCATCCCTCTCACTTGCTAAAAAGTTAGGCCTGGACAAAAGAAGTATACAGTTAGTTAGAGTAGGGTCTGCACTGTATGGTGGAAAAGTTAAACTTACCAGCTCAACTGGACAATTTTTCCCGGAGTCTTTTTTGCCACATAGGGTCAAAAACGCACCCTTTTTGAGCACACGTGAGTAGCAGATGAGCACATTTATTAGAATTTCTTGTGCAATCAACTTCGTTAAAGCGTTTGTGCATCATCGATCAGTCACTGCTAAGGTGTCCTACCATTTCAGCACAAGACTGGTGCAGCCCCGTCTCGACTGATTTAACTAGGGCCACCTTTTTGACGACGATTGCGGGCATCACTTCAAAGACTTCACTGTCTTTTGAGAAAACTGTGAAAAACCGATGAGCATTTTAAATGGTAGTATTCCCTCCAACAAATGCAATGTTGGTTTGGTGGGCGGAAGTTGTAGCTCTCAGCAAGAATTTTGAAGCATTTGGTACACACATGCGAATTTGCACACTGGACCCAGGAATTTTCAAAAAAAGTATAAAAATTGGGGGAAAGTTAAATTGTGAACCAACAATAGAAAACAATAAGCAACATATTTCGCAGTATTAATGAGCAAAAAGGACTTTCTGAGATATTGATTTTCCATAGTAATCGGCCCCAAAACTTCCTGAACTCAGAAAAGCGACACTAAGATATCCGGTACCTAATACTTCTTTGCACGACTGCATCCTAAGCTGTGTACAGTAGCATCTTGTCTCAACCTAATCGGATTTACGAGTGGAATACAGTCACGCTTAAAAAATAACAAGTCATTCAGACGCGACTAGAAGAAATCAGAATGACAGGAGACAACGCTTCCAACTTTGAACATCACGAACATTCACTCTTTAACATTGTGATGTTTAGAGTGAACTAGATAATGTTACCGCCTCATTCATTTGTTCTTGACTTTCAAAGAAAAGGCAACGTTTTTTCTATTTTCATATCTATTATGTGAGCTTGAGGAAGAATGCCACGATAAGGTCGAAGATACACCTTGGACAATCTAGTATGGTCGTCCGCGTCGCTACCGCCACTTCCCACCCACCCCTCGCCGTTTGGCTCTATCCTCTAGCAGATAGAGTGTGTGTTAGCGTTGAGGTCACCACCGATGCGAGTCGCATTAAGGTGGAAGTCACGAAAAGAAATGAGGTCCCACTTTCTGTGTTCTAGACCGCTACTCATTTCGTCAGCCCTGCATCACTGACCAACTGCCTAATTTCTAGTGAGTTGTGAAGTACGCCCGTAAACAGCTCCTTTCTCGAATGACCGCGTTGACTTGAAAATGGAAAAACCCTTTAACATTTGCTAGACCTTGAAAATCAACAGTCAATACTTATGCTGAGACAAGATGAATAAGCAGCTGGAAGCAACCGGAAGACATTCAAACTTCATAGCTCCGAGTAAAACAATTTCTGATACAAAGAGTAAATGTTACAACTAGGAAAACGATCCTAGCAGTATCAAAGAGATTATCGCTAATTTTGCTTTTTTTGTTTCCATGACAGAAAGTTGGTAATTGCTACCATCAACGTTGTCATTGGCCTATGCCCAGACAACGTAATTACCATATGACTAGTGAAGGAGATATAAGAGCAATGTAAGCGTGACATTATTCATGCCTTAGTAATCTATGTCTGCTTCCCATGTACGGCGAAAACGGTGGCAATGAAGGCGATAGGTTTGGTACTTTAGACTTGCAACACAATGTGGGGCAAAATCACTGGTGCACCAAGATTTCGCTAGCGTTTCGGAAATAATTCGCAGAAATAAAATTTTACCATGAATATTAGATGTGGAAAGTACGAAAATCAGAAAAATGCCAACGGATTTCAGCATGCTGGTCCAACCTTCACTTATTTTTTCGGGCGTTTGAGTGCATGCGGCACGCAGATATTTTTGATCAATATTGTCACAAGATTTCAAAAGCACAGTTATGAGAATCTTCAAATTTGAATATTTGGTAGTATAGGCTTTTCTCTACAAGGTGACCTATACTTGAGAGTAGTATAACGGTGACATTCGAAGAATTGGAGAGCCATCCGTCGAGACTGATCAAATTCGGGATCTGTTCTTGGACCACTCCCGTCATTGTGCTGAAACAAACTCCCTGCTGAATCCGCCTGTATCCCTCTCTTAAGTGGAGACGCGCCATGGTTTTGAGCAAATATCGAGTTTTAGCGCTATTTAAAAACTGAAAAAGACGGAACGCATTGGCACAGAGCGCCGTTGTAGTTTGGCGGTTAGGCGGCTGCAAAATGGAAGGCTAAGCCACTTTGTCATCAGAAAGAATAAGCATATGTCGCTACAAGTAGCAACGGGGGGGTCGTATTTTGGTGAGTTTGTAGGGGGGGTCGTACTTGCTTCGGTTGTAAGAAGTTGCATGTGATGAGTGGGGAGCGGCGCGGGAGAAAATTTGCCGTTTCAGCGCGTATATATACCCCCTACTAGAATGTTAGGAATTTGGTTTAAAGGGCAAGTATATCCCCCACCGCTCGACTGGTAATTTTGGAGCGTAAAAGTATAGGGGGTGTGTAGCAACGAATCGTCCGGAAACCGCGTTGTTGGTCGTTTCATGGTGGCATGCTGTTTGCTTTTCGTGTTTTCTGCTGCAGTCAAACAATCCATCGATGGTCTCACAATGTATTCGCCACTATTTCTTCAGGGAACGTTCATTATTTAGTGATAATTTCGTGGACATAGTCGCTGACGTGCCTCTAATATTGTTATGTTATGCTATATGTTTACTTATTTCCTCGACTGTACAGGTCAGTAGTAACATCTCGTAAACTATTTCTAAATCTTTGAAACATTGTTCATCTCACCATCAACTTCCTAATAAGCTAATATCCAAGTATGTGAGCAGAGTATGACTTCTTAGATATTCTTACCACGAAGTGATATTGGAATCAGGAGCTACTCTAGATAAGGGTTCTTAAATCGTCTTGTTTTTCGTTTAGTGCCGATGCTATTGCATATCTTGGTGAATGTCGTGGGGGGTCTATCTACAATTCACAAAGCTCTTCGAGAATTCTCGCATGGTTTAGAACGAGTGGATTTTTTAGCAGTGGGTGGTTTTTTTAAATATTTTCAGTTGGATTTCTAGCAATGGGTGTTTTTCTAATCTGAAAAGCTGCACAATGACTGATTAATTTACAGTGCATGTTCGGTGAAAAAGTCGTGGCAAAGCTGTATATTTGGTGGTGTATGCTGGTCGAGTTTTTGAGAAGGACGCTACGATGTTGACATTCATTCAGCAGATGGCCACATCACTAAGGGGATCTCGCTTATTTCTATCATTGAAAAATTCAGCGAAGTAGGGAGATTGCATCGTCTTGATGGAGATTATAAACTTTACATCATTTAGATTTCAATAGGAAAGCTTGTTTGAGTTCGTGATTGATAATGCATCTTCGAATGAAATTTACCACCTATTTCTGAAATCTACATGTGTCAAAGCTTCTCAATATAAATATACTACATGCATAAACATTTCATCACTATTACAACAGTTATGAGCCTGCCCTGAAAAATGTTCGTATAACTTCGTATAATCAAATGGACATGTTAAGCAAGGATCAATAGGCAGCGCAACCAATTGAATGAGGGTATCCCACAGGCAAGTATACCAAGGCGCGAGTCAGAGGCGTGAAATAGGCAGAAATGAGAATCTTGCACTGAAGACACAGACCTCGTGCCACCCTAATATGAAAAATCTACATGTTGCGTAAGAAAACAGATTTTTTTAGAGATAGGGCCTAGAACTCGCAAAATCTAAGCTGCGGACGGTTCTCGCTTCGGAGAAGATACAGCGAAAGAATTTAGAGCATTCCAGAAGGTTTGATTTCATCCATGATCAGGGAATGGTGCGATTCTACAATGAAGCAGTAATTGGCGAAGAATAACGACAGCTCTTCTGATCATCCAGCGTTTGCTGAGATTCTAATAAAATACTATTGATCTTGAGTAGGACGATCTCTTAAGGTCACACGAGCCTTCAGCATCTGAAGCGCCTATATTTAAGAAGTTTGAACGTTGATGGGTGACAGGGTCAAAGAAGTATTGTGGACACTGAGCAAATCTGTCGCTCCATCGAGACAGGGTCAATTGTTTTGCCGCGCATCGAAACGCTTGGCGCGTTACGGGGGCGCCGCGCACGGTAACGCGCGGACGGCGCCAACTGCCGGACGATTTCTGTTTGCACGTTGCGTTAAAATTGGTCGGAAAGGGGGGGTCGTAGGAAACTTTTGAATTCCTGAAGGAGGGGGGTCGTAAAAACTTTTCGAAAAGTAACAACGATAGGACTGACCCTGCCTGTAATTTTGCCCCACCCTGTATATCGACTGGATAGATCATGGTGATAGGGGAGTTGAGAGTATTCGTCGCAGCAATTGGTACCGCCCACAGTAATCCCAAATTCTGCTCGCATGAGGAGGAAGCTACGGAGGTGTAAAAGCGAAAGCGAAATGGCTTACGCACACCGATATGCCCTTGCAGACTGTTGGGATTATAATAGGCGACTCTAACTTTTTCACTTATTGCCCCGACCGCGAAGTCACTCTAGTTGCTTTGTTGTAAAAATACCTGACTCTCCACAGATTCGTTAGTGGCGGTGCCACATAATGCTATAATATGTCATACTCTCTCTGGTGAGTGGAACTGTGTGAAATGATGTCGTGTCAGCCTCTTGATTTGAGCTGGTTCTCAAAGTTTAAGGTGTTTTTCATGCTAAGTGAATGCCGTGCTTGGACCGTGGTACTCAAAGTGCGGTCCCTGGAAATAAATTTCCAAGTGAGTGAGTGTGACACTTTGGATATTCACTGCCCTCGAACGCTGGCCACATGTAGCAAGTGTGCTGTTCGAGTTTTTATTTGCCACTCAGATACTTTAAAGCCCTTCACTTTAAAACAAAAAGAAAACATCACAGAAATGCTACGAGACCAAAAATGCCCAAGATGGAGAAAAAAGCTCTTTTTGCACTTGATTTTTCGCCTAGAAGAGGCCTGCTCAAGATGTTCTGGCAATTATTACGACATGGAGCTTGGGAGCTCAAAGCAACAGTCCCACCACTCGACACTAATGAGGTGGGAAGGTGCAATTGCCCTATCAAGTACATAGCAAGTGTCAATGAACAAAAACTCACCTTAGAAGCCCGCTGAAGGTGTGGCGGACCCGTAAGGGTGCCTGCCAATGTAGCGCAGACGCCTCGTTGCAGCCCCGGAGAGGGCGGATTGGCTTTTGATTTGGCGGATTTTTTATTGATTTGGCGAAGGCATTAGCGATCGTTTTGGGACCACAGGGACTATTTGAGCTCGGTCATTCAAAGCAGTCAACGTGGTGCTGCAGACTTTTTTTTGCAGACAGGCGCACTTTTTTTCCTGAGCGGAGAAGGCAATCCTCGAGCAAGCGTGGAAGCTATTTGCCAGCAATTGTAATTGGGGAGCATTTGCTGAGTGCGAGTTGTGACAACTCGTCCAAGACGCTTCTTCCTTCATTTCTGAGGGGAAGAAGGTAAGTACCTGTTGAAAGCTTTCATCGGCGTTTTTTTATTCTTCCTTCATTAGCAATGAACCCACTATCCGCATTTTCCTTATCGATCGCTTTTACAACGCGAATTTGATGTGGAATTGTTGCTTAAAGGCAATGAGGTGCAGACCAGCGTAGCATCATTTTCTTGCAATGCAGATAGGGCAAAGCAGTGATAATGGGACACATGTCAGTGTCACACACTCCTAGTCGGTGAAGCCTAATTGTATGGGAGCTCGTTTCAAGCTAAGGTATCTTACTCCTCAATTTTCGCGGAATGGCTTCAATACCTTCATAGAATCGGGATTAGGAAACGAATAATACTGAGTACTTTCTCGTGTAACGTTTCTGACAATTAAGGCACTCTTGCTGAGTATACTAGCTCGTTCTCGTCGTGCATGAATGTCACGTCTGTTGTAGTATGATGAGGAAAGCAGCAACTTTGTTTCAACAGCCTAGATACTGTCACCTATTTAAACACTGAGCACTCTGATCATACGTTTATCACAAACGACCATAATTAAGAGCACTGGCTGATCTAGTGGAATCGTATAGCAAAGGATAGAGGTACTAGTATCGAGATATGATTTAATAAATGAACACGACAATATGAGTAATTAACGGAGTCAAAACGCGACATCGCAAATGGGAACATTGTGTCTTTTCAAAAAGCAAGATGTCACATTCACTGCTGCACCAGCTGGTCTCCTATTAGTGTATCATGTAAAACAGTGTCCATAGTACCAGCTTGTAAAGAGCTTGACTAGGCTAAGCTCGGCCCTTGATTGTGAACGACTTTGTCCTCACGTTCGGCACCTTGTATATTATGCTTCGAAAATGTAGATCCATATGTATAACTACCACGAAAACACTTTATTCAATGAACAGTATCTCTATTCAGGTAAATTCTAACTTATATCTCTTCATGCACGACTGTAGGCACACCTGAAGATTCTGGATTGTGTCTCAGAAATTCGAACAACCAAACAAACAAATAAAACAACAAACAAACAATCAACCTCAGCATTGCGTCACGGTGGTGGAGGAGGTGGTGGCGGTGCCACGAATCCTGGCGGAACCTCCAAGTTCTCATACAGTCCTTCACCCTTCCCATCAGTAGGTCCAGCAGGTGCAGGTGGTGGTGGCGGAGGAGGAGGAAGTAGAGGCGGAGGTGGCATGGCACCCTGAACAACTGCGTGTGTGAACCGACGACTGCATCCCACAGTGTTCTTTGCATTTGGAAATACTAGTACATGTTACAGTCGAACTCACCTTGGCAGGCTCAGGTGAGCTCCAGTAGTCAACAGGTGATGGTTCCTGAACATCAAATGTGATAGTGCCAGTAATACATAAAGAGATAACAGAGCATTCAATCAAGTTTTGCCAACTTATGATGTGTGTCATAAGCAGAGAAGAGATAGGAAATAGTCCAAATGTGGTTCCCACCGACATGAACCCCTGATTAAGTCCTCACCTAGACCACTTAGACCACACACCCACAAAAAATCCACTAGGTGCTGTCAGGTTCGCTAGATGGGTGAATATTCACAATGCTAACAATTTGCTTTCCAAGCGCAGCGTATGTAAAAGGCAAACCCCGGGATTAGCCCGACTAGTGGGAAGGATACCGCGAGGGAAATTGTAAGGTCCGTACCTACCTAGATCACTCCAGCTTCGTCGCAAAAATTGCGCGGTTAGGGCGCTAATCCTTACGGGCCTGCAACCATCGACCGCA